TCACTCACCCCCTCACTCACTCACTCACTCACTCACTCACTCACTCACTCACTCACTCACTCACTCACTCACTCACTCACTCACTCACTCACTCACTCACTCAATCAATCAATCAATCAATCAATCAATCACTCTTTCAATCTTTTGGTGCATATGTTATAAATTATTGATAAATTTTACTTGAGATCGACTTGATTCATGTTCAGGAATAGGTGCCAACGAATCAGACGTCAGCATTTTTATTTTCAATGTCAACCATATTGTTTTCTTATATTCTAAATTAAAAATCGTTGATCTGTAACCATCTCTTATTATACTGTCTCTCTTTGCAAATCAGGCAACCCATTCAAGTTTGGATAAAAAGGAATGCATTCAAAATCTCCTGATGTGGTGCTCTATTTGTCAGTGTGTTGGTCAGTCAGGTCAGGCAACTAGGGGTGCCGCATATGCAATACACAAGTTTAGTATTTTGGTTTAATTCAGAAAAATTCACATCTAGGAATATCAAATACTACTTGAGATTCAAGATTCTGAATCATTCATTTAATAAAAATGTATTGAATAGAGCTTATATAGTAATTTATAACACATTTTTTTAGCAAATATTACTGGACAGGTAAAAGTGTATACTGACCATTTAACTCTGTATTGTCACGAGAGAGTATGTATGCCCTACACTTATCAACTCTTGAATTTGTTACTACGACGTTGCAGATATGGAAAGCTCTACTGCAAGAGATGCCTATGACAGCGTTATTGCGAAACCTCGGTAGAATGACGTCTATAGGAGTACTTAACGAACCCAGCGATTTGAATCTAGTTATTGAAAAGTTGTCGAATGATGAGTTATTGCACAAGTCTCGTATTCACCCGTTCAATGTATTATTAGCGCTGAGAACATATCTGCTGGGACGTGGGGATAAAGGCAAGTTGACTTGGCTACCAAAGCCTGATATCGGCAACGTTCTAGAGCAAGCATTCTATAAATCATTTAAGGTATGTAAATTGGAAAATTAAGGCATTTTGGGGAGGGGAATTTGAATATTCAAGAGGAAGATTGAATATTCATTTGATATAATCAGAATGTTTTTTGATTTTGTCATCAGCCAATTGAAAATTGTATAAAATTCAGATTTTATAAGTAATTTTGAAATTATGCAAATGATAAATAAGCAACTCATTAGTTGTTAAGAAACATGTTAATTTGTCAAACTGAAAATATTGACATGGTGCTTTTATGGTAAAGTTTGAGCATAGCTTTGAAACTCATCATCTGCTGAAAACCTTCATGAATAGCCAAAATAAATGGGAAAAAAACTTTTGCAACCTTTCCCAAAATTATACCCACATATTATTCAAATTTATGCTCAAGATCTGTAAACATTTAGAAATTCTGTTCAATTGGTCTGTAATTATTATAAAAAAAATTTAAGAAAATCACCTAAAAACTGTTGTACCAAAATTTTTGCTGGGAAACATTTATTTAGTGAAAGTGTTAATGATATTAGTAATTCATATGTACCGGTAATTACATTTGAGAGTATTGTGTAATTTCAGAATGTAGAAGCAACTGGGAAGCGTTATTTGTTGGCCATGGATGTCAGTGGATCTATGTCTTACGGCAACG